TGTTTAATTTAATTGAAGACCCTGTATATTTTACAAAAATCAGATGTACAATTTAATTGTCTGTCAAATTGTATTATACCATTTCTTAGCTATCTCTTCATGTTTTCTTAGCAAATGCATTTTCTTGTAATTTAGAACTCATTTATCAATATACCCATGGAATACTGACATTTTAGATTATTTTTAAAGAGTACAGATACTAATATTGTCGATATAGTTCGTTTATTTCATTAAAAAATAAAAAAAAACAGTTTAAATATTTCTTAAAGGGGACCAATTAATATGATTCCAGTATTCAAACTACATTAATTAACTGTTTGCGTTGATTAATAATAATTATGACCTCATTTCTTAATATAGCCATGGAATTTTATCTTTTCTTGCATTTTTGATTTTATTTAAAACTTGTCAAAATTAATTAATATACGTCAATTTGATACAATTATTTCAGTAGCGTATCTGATATTTTTGATATTAAATAATTATTAAAACTTATCTATTATTATTTGAAATAATAATAAATACAATTAATATTTTTTAACAATTTTAATAATTAATGTCATTGATTGTATGAAAAATAACACTAATAAGAGTCTACCGTATATTATACAGGGTGTTTTAAAAAACATGTGTTATCTCTCGTGGGAAAATTCCTCACGTAAAAAAAAAGATTTATTTTTCATACCAACATAGCTCCGATTCTGCTTTGTTTCGTAGCTACAGGGTGTTAAAATCTTAATAATCTTTCGATTTATTATAAATGTCTTCCAAGTTCTAGTTTTTCAACTTTTGGTGATTTGAATGAAATTTTGAGTGTAAAAGTTAAACCTCAAAACGAGCTAAAGCGTCGATAAATTCGTCAGGGACGTGCATATGGGTTATCACTGAAATATTATATATATATATATAAAAAAAAACAGGTGCGCCACCAACTTTTTTCTTTTCATATCAAAATTGTATAGGCCCATTAATGCCAATGAAAAGTTATTTCTTGATATTTTGTTGAATTCGGCCTCCTTGATGAGATAGTAACAATTAATAAAATTAAAATAAAAATAAAATTAATAAATTATATACTTATTTTACCTATTTAGTATTAAATATTATTACTATTAGTTAATATTACTATTAGTCAAACCTACAGCAATTTCAAATAAAAAAATAATGGTATTTAAGATAATTACACAAAACCGAATTGTAAGTTTTAACATCCTCTATCTCTAAAACTATGCATTTTTATACCCATGTTTATAGGAACTTTTTTTCATATTTTTTGATAAGGAATCAATGAGTACTTATTTAGAATTATCGCAAGTTAATGATATTATTTTTTTAAAGGTTGCTATTAGACTTGGATCAAGGCAAATTAATAAAATTGCGGTTATCTCTTCAAGGAGGCCGAAATCAACAAAATTGGCTTTAATTTTTTTTTAATTGGCTTTAAACTGCTTACACTATTTCGCTAACAAGAGAAAAAAAATCAGTAGCGCCAAATGCTTTTTTTAGAAACATATTCCAGTGATAACCCATAGGCACGTCCCTGGTGAATATGTCGACACTTTTTTAGCTTTAACATATGTCGCATTTATAGTAACTTTTACCCTCAAAATTCCATTGAAAGCGCTAAATGTTCTTGGAAGAAAATTATAACAAATAAAAAAAAACATTAGTCTTTAACATCCTGTAGCTACGAAACAAAGCAGAATCGGACCTATGTTGATATGAAAAATAAATCTTATTTTTACATGAGGAATTTCCCGCAAGAGATGACATATGTTTTTTGAAACACCCTGTATTTTAACAGGTATTAAACAAAATTAACTCGGCACAGATGAAACGAAATGTAAGTCAGCTATGCTAATCACCATCTTGATCTTTTTATTGAAAAGTTTAATTTTATCTAAAACATGAGTAAAAAATATTTAAATTTAATCGGAACAAATTAAAAACACTGCAGACAAAATTCTAATCAGAAATTTTACTGTACAAAGCAGAGATCGGATTTTTCAGATATCTCTCTAATTAAAATCGTTTTTTGTTCGTTAAATATTCTTGTTTCCGAATAAAGCATTTCTAAAAAATTAGTTTTTCCATACGACAGACTAATTAGGTTTTTACTTGGCAGTATTAAATTAGACGATAATATCATTGGGTAAGTTTATACTAAAAATTAGAATTTTCCGTTGACATTTATATGGAAATTAGTTTTATACGAGATGACGTTAGAATATGATTACTTTTAGCAAAGAGTGGATTGTTTGCATAAAGCGTTATATATTATGCATACAGCTTTCTAGTCTATTTGTTAATATTTACTCTGTTCTACCATAATAATAAACTTTTGAACGAGTTTAAAAGAGGAAATTTTGGATATATAGTCTGTATGTTAGAGATATTTTATTTCTTTTATTTATCCATAGTCATGTCAACTAACTAAAGACAATAAACGATTTAAAAAACTTAATTTTTAACAAATAAGTCTGTTTTTTGGTTTCTTTTTTTCGATTTTTTTTTCTTGGTTACTAATTTCTTAAACAGAAATCGAATTTTTTCCGTTCTGCTCTTTTCGTTTCGGTTCGGTTAAGTGCTCGACAAGCTTAAGCTCTAGTAAACAAACCTGTCGAATTTTTTTAATTTAAACATCTTGTCAAAGATCCGAATTTTAAAATAAAAAAAAGAAAGTTTCAATATCCAAAGTAGTTTTTGAGTTATCGCGTGTTATATGTTAAGAAGTTGAGTTTTCAAAATACCACGATTACTGACCTTTTTTCATTATAAAAAGAATGGTCACCCTAACGATATTCTATAACTTCATAGATTTCAGATGTCCAGAAACATATCTAATGAGTTTATATAGTTATCTTTCCGGAAAAAAAAAGAATTAAAAATAAGCGCCTTTCGAGCGTGATTTTATTACACTAGACAGGGAATGGCGTACTTGTATCACTGAGAATATTGCAACGCTGCAACAATACACCGCACAGTGGTTCCCCTTAATTAGCTGCGCGGTCATAACTGTTAGATATCTAGATATAGCTTGACTGCACCTTTTTTAATAGAAATTTATAACAAATGCTAAATAAATGTATATAAAAAACTTAATGTAATATGTATTAAAAAAATTGGGCCCAGTTCGTGTGATTTGAATTTTAAGTTCTAACTATTCGAAAAGGTTTACAGATTATGTTTGCACATATTTACATGTTTTTTCATATTGAAGAGGTCAAATTTATTTTAAATGTTGAAAAAATAAAAGAGACAGTTATTCCATTTTATAAATACAATTTTATTGTCAATTGATATATAGTGTGTCCACGAAATAAGTTGACACGAAGAGAAAAAAATAAGTTACTTTTATTTTAAGACAAAAAGTCAATCTTTAACCACCCGGTATAAGATCCGGTGGCAATTCGCGGCAGCCAGTGGCAATTAATTTATATGCAATATACTTTAAGCAACAAGTATTATCATGCTGCTTAAGAGGATTTGAAAGGGAAAGTAGTTAAAAGTCTTAAAGAGTGACAAGCAAAAATGTAAAAATACTATTTTTGTTGTCTTCAAATAAATTGCCATAACCTAATATTACTTAGGTTTAATTAAGTACAAAAAAGAAAAAACAGTTCTTTTTACCTTCTTTTCGAACGTCCAGTACAGAAAAGGCAACAGCTTTTATCAATTTTAATAAAATAAGTAATTAATTGGCGTTATCTGAAAACTGTTTATGTCAGCTTGATACCAGTAGCAAAAATGTGACATTTCTAATAAAAAAAGCACTACACTAGGCTTACTTGATTTTGTTATTTATTATGTATTGTTTACAGGAGAATATAAGAAAAGTATTAGCAACGGTTTCATGCAAACATTTTGAAATTAATATTTCTAAGTAATGACCTATCTGGGAACCACTGTGCACCGTCGCGTTTTTCTCACTCCGACTTAAGAAGAACCCTAAGCAGTGTAGAAGTGAATTCCACATATGTAAATACCGGCCCAAAAGTAAGAGTTGCTAGCATGCTAAACACTGGTGTGAAAAATCTATTGAGAACTTAATCAAAAATGAGTACAACTTTTGATTTTTAAATGGTATGGTCGGTATTTTTTTTCCAGACCAGTTAGTAGATGCCTAAATCGTATTTTTAATCATATCTCATTAAACTCATCTATTTTTTCAAATAGAACGAGAGTGGCTCATTAGTATATTTAAAATTAGTATATTTTACGAATAATTTGGTACCACGTACTTGGTATTTCACGTCAAATTGTCTTTACATTTATGGTCGTGGCACTCACATGTTGAAACTGAAATTTAAAATATGATTTTTAAATGGAAATGTCAAAAGATGACATATGGTATGCAATTCTATTCAAAAGATCATTTTCTATCAAATAAAGAAAACAAAAATTCTGAGGATACCATTTAAAAATCAAAAGTTCTAGCCATTTCCGGTTAAAAAGATAACCGTCATTCAGAACCTCCCAATTAGTGGAATAAATTAGTGGTTTCAATTAGCATCGAAGTTTGTTCCTGTTATTTAAATGTAAGCAATCAGAACATCAAAATTAGTGCTAGAAATTTTCAATTAGTGGAAAAAGTTAACAAACTTTTAATTTTTTCACTAGTTATACTTCAAAATTTGCGACGAATGTCATTTTGGCCTTTGATTATCATCCGTCAAGACAAAATTTAGTTAGACATCAAAAGTTTATTGTTTTTAAACTAAAAATTAGGCTTTCTTTATGGATACAACTGACTACTGGAAGCTGTTTGTAGGATATTCTATTAATTTTTATTTTGTTTTTTGTGTCAATGATCGTAAACTAAAAAGTATGAAGTGTAATTGAAACCTAATTTATTCCACTAATTGCGAGCGATTCTAAATGAAGCTGAAGTGACCGATATTAATTGAATACGTCAACCAATACTTAATTATGTATTTTTATAGGGGTTATCAACCATTATGTTCATATATTTACCAAATAACATATTTATATATCATTACCTGGAACATACTAGTGACGCTCAACCAGTTCTTCCTATCCTCCGGCGCCGATATCTCCAGCACCTCCGTCCTGGGGTCCATCTGTCCGGTGGGTATGGGATCGGTCAGGCCGCCCGCCAAACAGGAGATCCTTCTCTTACCCCTGTCCGAAGGTCGACAGGTGCAGGACGCGGGACACAGGGGGCTGGTGCCGGCCGCCACACCGCTACAAACGAGCCAGATGACCACGAGACTGGGCAGGTGCAGACGCCGGCAGGACAACAGCATCCTGCAAAAGAGAAATGCAATAAGATGCGTAAATAGGTAGAAACCCAAAAGCAATGCCCGCAACTGTGCCACGGTGAGCTACAAAAATGAATACGTAAAGTACGTCTACTGGATGTGTGTCTGTAAAAGGAATTTCAAGAATGCAGATACAATCTTGGATTATAATCAATTTACTACAAAACACATTTCAATAAATAGCAATAATATATTTTATAGATTGCTACCTTGTCACAACACAACACGATGCCTAGTTCGGATTCTTTTTTGCTTATTTTTTATTACCTGAAACCTCGTACCTGTTTTAAAATAACTGCACTAGCAAAAACTAAAATGGTTAAATATTATGACACAGCCACGATTTCAATATTATTTTAATGCAATCAACATGAACTGTAACCGGGACGGCGCCGGCGCGGCGTGACATATATTGCGAAAATTTCTGATTTCTGCCATATACAGCGCTGCGGTCAGAATTTGTTGATATCAACTAAAATACACCAAGCCTAAACGCAGTCTACAAAGATCTATTTAAATATAAAGGAAAACCCTGTATATAATATGAGAATATTTGTCGTTTCTAATAGAAGCCACCAAGAACGAAAGTTCATAGAGGAAGTGAGTGGTGTAGAAAATCGAAGATATTATTCAGTTATCTACTTAAAAGCACATGCAAATTCGTTTATGTATGAACTTTGGAGTTTCCAGAAGTTTTGATAGAAAAGTGTCAACATTTACCGAAGCTTGACTAACGCCAAATGCTAACTTTATAATTCGAGAATGAAATTTCCGCATATTTAACATCGCTCAAGCGTAACTTTATAATTTTCGTTGAAAATTTTGAAAATATAAATATTTTTATATGTTTGAATACTTTTTGGAACTAGGTATACGCGAATTAGGTATACTTTTTTATAATTTTTATGATAAATAGAAATAATGCACTAAACTAAATATACAGGGCTGTTCACCATATACGACACGGAGTATTGTAGCTAAATGATTAGATTTTTACAAATTGTAAGTTTTGGGTTCGTTGGAGGACTATTAGAGCTACAATTTAAAAAAAAAATTACAAGATACAGAGTGTCCCAAATAAATAAAAAATATCAAAGTTGTATTTTTTAAATGGAACACCCTGTATATTATTGCATTTTTAGTTTCTACGATTAAAATAAAGGTAAATTTTATTGAGGTTTATTACACTTAAACCTTACCGTTTTTGAAATATTTTCAATTTTGCGAAATTGCAGTATCAATTTTAAGGCTTCATTTCTCCGATAATATCAAAGTTTTTAATACTAAATATTTACTGAAGTTTATTTATTGATCAGTTATTGTGTTGCAATAATAAAAATTATACTACCTTATACAGAGTGTCTAAAAATTTATTTTAAATAATTACAAGCTTTAAACGGCAATAACTTATTTACATTAAATAGATCACCCTGTATATTTTATGAGAATCAGATGCACAATTTAATTGACTATCAAATTGTATTATACCACTTCTTACCTATTCCTCCAAGTTTTCGTAGAAAATGCATTTTCTTATAATTTACACCTCATTTATCAATATACCCATGGAATATTGACATTTTAGATTGTTTTTAAAATAACAAATGTACAAAATGTACAGGCTAGTAATATTATAGTTTTTAGTAAAACGATAATATTACTAGCCCATTTGTATACAAAAAAAAAACTATTTAAATCTTTATAAAAGAGTATACCATTAATTAAATATACCACCAGTATATCCGCCCAAATAGTAATTAACTACATACTTAATTATGTTCGTTAATAAATTAGTATAAATATATGTGGATTTGAATCAGAAATCAATTAATATATAAGTTATGAAAATGAACGTCTCTGTTGTTATAAATAAGCATTTGTCAAAAACTTAAATATCATTTTTAATGTGTTACTTTTTACCACACTGTCTAATACACATACATAATTCAGTTTTTTAGTATTTGGAGCAATTATTATTAATCAACGCAAACAGTCAATTAATGTAGTTTGAATACTGGAATCATATTAGTTGGTCCTCTTTAACAAATATTTAAACAGTTTTTTTTAATTTTTTTAATGAAATAAACGAACTATATCGACAATATTAGTATCTGTACACTTTAAAAATAATCTAAAATGTCAGTATTCCATGGGTATATTGATAAATGAGTTCTAAATTACAAGAAAATGCATTTTCTACGGAAACTTGAAGAGATAGGTAAAAATGGTATAATACAATTTGATAGACAATTAAATGGTGCATCTGATTCTCATAAAATATACAGGGTGTTCCATTTAAATTAAACAAGTTATTGCCGTTTAAAGCTAGTAATTATTTAAAATAAATTTTTAGACACTCTGTATAAGGTAGTAAAGTTTTTATTATTGCAACACAATAACTGATCAATAAATAAACTTCAGTAAATATTTAGTATTAAAAACTTTTATACCCTCGGAGAAATGAAGCCTTAAAATTTATACTGCAATTTCACAAAATTGAAAATATTTAAAAAACGGCAAGGTTTAAGTGTAAAAAACTTAATCAAATTCACCTTTATTTTAATCGTAGAAACTAAAAATGTAATAATATATTTTATTTAATTTTTTCTTGGCTTTAGGTCAGGTAAATAATGAGAAAAACGGTTTTTTTATATTAAAAATTTCATTGACGTTTCGACCTGGTAGGGTCTTTATCAAAATTTATTACTTGAACGTAGATTTCGGCCGTTTTGTTTTAGTTTTTATTTTAATTTTTATTGTTTTCTTTTTACAATTTTATTATTTTCATTCTTAGCGAAGAAAATAATCCAATATCCAACATTGGCATTCACACACATAACATAAACATATCGATACAGTCGTCACAATTTTTGTAAAAAGACATACACATTGAAACGGATTTTACAACAACTCAGTGACAAATTTGAACCCGAAACAATCCAACAATTCGTATTTATAGTGGTTTACAGTAATTTTGTTAAATTATACGAATACTCTCATTGATTATTGATTTGAAATACATATTACGATGTCCTCCAATGAAAATGCGAGTTGCTTAACTCTAATAATTCTCAATCTGAGCTAGCAAATGAGCTAAATGCTGTGCCTAGACCGTTATTCAGAAGCTACACACTATCGATAAAAATATGCATAAAAATTCCACACCTGTAATTTTTAACCAATCAAAACGTGTTTTTTTGACCAATCACCATGTCAATGGATAAATTTTAATGAAAAAAATTTCCTTGTGGGCATCCAACAGCGAATTATACTGGAAATTTTTTGACGTTTATAATGACAGAATATCCTTTTGAGAGTCTGGTTTTTATTTGTTTATATGATAATTTTGATACATTTCAATTACAAAGCTAAAATGTTTTCTATATTCTTTGGACACCTCTTTTCTTCTTAATGGCGAAAATGTAGGACTTGGAATGGACTAAATTAAATGTCTATGTCTAATGAAATATATATAATATTTAGACACTATTTTATTCACCTTTTTTCTATTTAGTACTTCGGATTTTGAGTAGTTTAGATGCAAATATTCGTGAACAATTCGAAACAAATTTTCTTTCTTCAAGTAGGAGCCACAATCCTCTATTAATACGGGTAAATAAGTCATCGCACGATGATTGATCATTACATCAGACAATTTCACGCATATTTTGCATGTGGTATGATTTTCAAAGCGTTCATTTTTAAAATAAAGAATTTTGATGGTTTTTCAAGCTGCAAAATATTCTTTATTACAACAAAATGCGAGTTTTTCTGATATTTTGAACTGTCAAAATACGATGATCACAGCCTTTTATGATTAACGCTTGCTGACGCTGCGCGCTGGTTATGAATTCCATACCAATAAAGCGTTTACAAAAAGTTAATAAAAATGCAAAAAAGCAATTTTCTACCACTTGTAGTTACTCAAAACTTATGTAAAATTAAAGAATATATTGTGTTGTGTCTTGAGATGGTATTTTCATGTAACTACAAGGAGCAGAAGTCAACAATTTAAAGGTCTAAATAGCTGCTAAAACTGTGACGGGCTGTAAATCTGTTCATGCAGCGTTCCGAAAAACCTTTTAAATTATGATTTTCTAACACTTGTAGTAAGCCCAAGTAACTATAAAATGAAAGAATATAATATTTTAGGTCCTAAAATGGCACTTTTGAGCTACTACAATCAGTAGAAATCAACAGTTTATAGGCTAAGAATCCATTGGTAACAAGACAAACTGAATCTGTTCATGTATGTATCTATAGAACTAATAAAATTTTTATTTTCTACCACTTGTAGTAGCCCAGAGTAAATACAAAATCAAAGAATGTAATATGTTCCATTAAAAAACTGCATTATCGTGTAACTACGACAAGTAAAAATCAATAATATCTCATAGGGCAGGCTGAGAAGCCATTACCATTTGTTAAAATTATAACTTTCTCCCACTTATAGTAACTCGAAAATGATATAAAACAGAAGAATATATTACGTTACGCTCTAGGTTGCCATTTTAATGCAACTACAAAGAGTAGAAATTAAGAATTATCGCAGCTATTATTGACAGCTTCAAAATTGAAATAGTTTTTAGGTTTGGGTGTCACTTAGTTGCCATAGTAACTAAATAATCAAGTCGACCAAAAATAGAAAAATACATTTTAATTATTTGTTTTTCAAACACAATTTGGTGTGGAATTTTCTTATCAAATACGACAGGAGGTTAAATTAAATCCGGAAATAATTTAGTGGTATTACTAGTGAAAATTTACTTCTAAGCAGACAACCAGAGGATATTGGTACCCACGTATAGTATCAAGTATATTAGCTTTAAATCAAAACAGTTTTTTGGTATTTGTGCGATCTCTACCACTTTTTTTCTTGCTAGCTCGTGCATCAAGACATGTTCAAGGTCATGTCATGTCATGCCCTAGACACTTAATGGTAATTTTATAGAACTACAAATTTAGTTTCTTCCGCATCGCCAGAC